CCCTCTCTACAGAAACACCACCCACCCTCCTCTGTATGGCTTCACTGCTGGTAACATGCGCTGCCTCCTGGCATTGAACCCCTTCCAACCAAAGATCTGTTCATGTGTCCTGAATATTTTTCATTCTTATGTAGGAAACTGTCTTGAGAACTTGTCAGAAAGCACTGTAATTCCCACTTTCCAGAAAGGGAAATCAAGACAGAGAGACGTTAATTGCTACTAAAGAAGTAGTGGTTACACTGTCTGGGACTCAGGGATGACTAGAGACCAATTGGGCTCCTGGTATCATGGAAACCAAACCTCTCCACCTATTTTTTTTTTTTTTTCATGAGATTCAGTATTCATAGTTGGGTGTTCTGAAGCCTAGCCGGGACCTTTCTTCTTTTGCAGAACTCTTTCCTGTATTGACTTTATTTTTCCTCCTCCCTTCTCTATGCCAATTTCCAGGTTGTCTGCACAATTCGAAAACGGTTATAATTAGCTCCGAGGAACTGTCCAAAAGTTTCTTCTCCTAGGATTTGGGGGAGTCCATGCTCCTTGAGGTAAACCGCCATCTGCTAGGATTTGAATCATGCTTTATCGGATCGCAGTCTCCAATACGGCAGATTTACATGTGTGGAGATGGGAAGATGAGGAGCGGTGCAAATGGGGGCTCTCCAGAATGCCTTCCCATGAGGGGTGCTAAATTCAACGTCTGAGGGTGCCAAGTCAGGGGAGAGGAGGCTGCCTGTGTGTTGGCTCGGCTAATTAGCACGGCTTGAAAATAATTACGAAGAGACCACACAGGGAGCGCACCGTGTTGCAAGCGGTAGACCAGCAAGGAAACCAGAGCTCAAAACTGCAGGTCTTTAACGCTAGAGAAAAATCTTCCGGAGGGTGGACCTCGCCACCAGGCCCTGATGCTGATCATGGCCAAGTGGTCCAAGAGTTCTCAGTTAATGGAAAGAAGAGACTCCATGGCAATCTCAGCTCGAGAGAGATGGGTGGCTGGGTTTTCTCCAGTCTCAGTTCATTTGCAGTCACTGCCCTTGGAAGATCCAGCAAGACTGAATGGGAACCTGACCGACCGTGTAGGAAAAGTCCAAAGGGAACATTAGTGAAGCCTGCCACCACCACCACCACCACCACCACCACCACCACCACCACCACCCCTGCCTCTGCTTTTAGCACCATGTTCTTAGTGTGCCATATATCTAGGTACACTCCTTCAACTCCTGCTCCTGGTGCATCCGGATCTCCGTGGTAGTGTTTCTCTTCCTTCACTCCCTTCACAGCGAGAACTGAAACCTTGACTCCCTCTACCTAAGTTATCCCCTCTTCACAAACACCTGGGGCTCCAAGGACAGGCACTGGCCTTCCATTTCATAGACGTCAGTTGGCTCTCTGCTGCCCCCACCTGGTCCATATAGGAATCTTCCTGTGGAGATCAGACAGCGACCGTAGAATCTAGTGTCTTGGATTCCTGAAGGCAATTTGAATTTTGCTAATTTTCTTGCACTATAACCTGACTAAATTTATGGATCCCAAACTATTCTTAATTTTGAATGGTAAAATTAAACTACAAAGTAATAGGCTATGTCAGGTAGCACCTTTGGTTTTTAAATAAGTGGCACACTAAGAATTTTTTTTAAAAAAATCCTAAAACAGGCTTTTTCAAATCGTTAAGATACCATATATTAATCTAATTATTCCAGAATCAGAACACTTATTTTTCCTTTTGTTCTACTTCAAATGTCCCCTGGTGATAACAAGGGGGGCTGAGGACAAGATGGCAAAGGAGGAGGTAAACAGGAATCATTTGGAACTCCTTGGACACTTAGAAAATGTCTTAGAATACATTCCAGCAGCTTCCCCACAGACCTAACCATGTAATCATTTGCCTTAGTTACTGTTCTATTGCTATGACCAAGGCAACTTATAAAAGAAAGCATTTAATTAGGGACTTGCTTACAGTTTCTTTTAGGGGGTGAGGTGGTGCATGACAGAGATCACGGCAGCAGGCAGACAGACATGGCTCTGAAGCAGGGGCTGAGAGCTCGCATCTTACCTGCAAGATAAAAGGAGAGAGACAGCAAGGCTGGGCCTACCATGGGCGTTTGAAACCTCAAAGCTCATCCCCCAATGACACACCTCCTCCAACAAGGCCACTTACTGTTTACTTATTCCTATTTTGTACATTTAAATTCTTCTCCCCTTTTCTTTGGTGTCAGGTGTAGAAGTTTATTTTACCATTCATTTCACAGATGCAGCTCTCAGATTTACTTTTTTCTTTCTAGTTTTGGTTGTCTTTCCTTCAGCTTCCCATTCCAATTTCTTTAAGTTTGTTTTATCCATTTTTGGTTTCTTTGGTTTTCTTCAACTGATTATCTATCATCTATCTCTCTATCTATATTTGTATTAACATATCACATATATATACTTACATATGTATCTATTAATATGTTTTTGTATATTTTAATCATTGAGCCATCTCTCCAACCCCTGTTTTTATAAATCTTAAAATAGAATTTGAATCAGTTTTTTTCATTTCCATAACTTTTGGCTGAAGCCATCTTTTTAGGTTGTGTTCAAAAATAACTGGAATATTGCTGTTAGTTTCTTTGATTATAAAAGTTGTCTAGGTATAACACACACACACACACACACACACACACTATTGAGTATCTGCCTATTACAACAAAAATATGTTAGCTATCTGGCTCTAGTCAATAGCAACTATTTCCAATGCATCGAATGAATATGTGGACTATAAAGTGCTCTTTGTTATATGTACATTCACTACTGAGTCACTCGATATATACAGACTGGGGTACTGTTGATGACATGATTCCACCAGGGCCTTGTGAAGGAGAGTCCAATGGGTCATATATTTAAGTGATTTGAATGAGAATGCCCTCCCCCCCCATAGGCTCATATATTCAAATATCTGGTTCGTCCACAGTTGGGGAGGGGAGACCTGCCTGTAAGCCTCCCTAGAAAAGGTAAATTCCTAAAATTTACCTAAGAAATTGTGGAGAAGTTGAGTAGCTCAATTATCACAGTGGGCAGAGAAGGCTATTGAAGAACTGTCTTTGAGAAGGAAGCTATACCCCAATGAGATGGCAGCCTTGTCCTCTTTAACAGAGGGAAGACTATGGCAAAGACCTGTATTCTCCTCAGGCCCTGGAAGCCCTGAGTCAGGCTGAGTGGCACTGAAGCCCTGAAGACCCCCTCCCTTTGTTCACACGTGTAACTAGATTGCCTGAAGACCTGCCCAGCTGGCTTTGGAAACCAAGGAGACCCTAGATCCAAGGCTTGAGCCAATATTCTGCAGAGTCAGGACTTGGATTGCTTCCTAACATTCCTACTGGCTCAATTTCCCAGCTAGGAGACTATGAGCACACGCACACACACACACACACACACACACACACACACACACACACACACACACACACGGGGGCAGGGGTGGGGGTGTCACTGTGTCAGTAAAGTGAACAGGAAATGGTTGCTAAGACTTAACACTCTACATAGGTGGTAATGAGCAGTTAGACAATGGTAGCCACTGTTGGGTCATCAGCTAGCATCCAAAGAAAACAAAACTAGCAGCACCAAAAGTGAGAATGTCAACTTCATGCCTATCCTGAGAATTCCCAGTACTAAAATCCCTTCTGTGCCCCTGAAGGAAAAGCCCCAGCCCTTTTCACCATGCACTTCCTCCCAGAGCCTCTCCTGTAACAATCCTGAGAGCCATGCTCCACCCAGCTCCACCCTTGCATTGTCTTACACTGGTGGTAAAGAATTGACTACATTTACAACATGTGATATGACATTTGGAGATACACATGCACACACATGTAGGCATACATATTGTACAGTTAGTAAGTTAAGGTCATTTAAGATAGCTGTGGTCAGAACAGAAATCACCCAACTCATCATCCCATATTCTATTGTCTCTGCCACCTTTTCATTAGGAATACATCTTTCTTCCACAGTCTAACCTCATCATCCCTCCAGATTGATTTACCTTTTGATCTCCTTAGCCTTTTGCCCAATTTAATAACATTTGTCTGCTGTACAAACATATGCATAGAACAATATATGCATATAGTGTATGCATCACTCCCCTTAGGTCACTCTTCCCCCATCACTCTGGAGAAACAGGCTTACCACTGAAGCCTCTCCTAAATGAACTTGCAGTGATTTACTGGAGTAAATCTGTGGACAAGTCTTTCTTCCTATGTAAGGATGAGTCTTTATCTCCCTACTCAGTAGGAATGTTACCTTTACATTCTCCCAGACCCCATTCAAGGTCCTCTATGAACAGCATCTCAGATGATCACAGTTTGACCCACAAGGTCTTCAGTGTCCTTGGGGTAGCATTCTTGTCTTCAATTGAATTGTTTCCAGCACTGGGCAGGAAACACAATGTATGCAGTCTTTGATGACTGGCGTGAGAGGATGTCTTAGATACCAACTAGAATACTTCCTCGAAGCATAGGCAAGGACTCCACAGCTCAGAGAACTAGAAATTTCCACAACTCTAGGTCTCCAGTGAACAGTTATTAGGGCAACGGTCACTATGTGTGGTGCTGATGTCATCATGATGAAAAAGACCCTACAGTCCTTGCTGGTGGGAAAGGAGGCTAAGAAGCAATTTTGATGAAATGTCATTGTGACGATATGTAAGGAATTGCTTACTAGGAAATGGAGAAGCAACTCAGTAGTTTAGAGCACATGTTGTTCTTACAGAGGACTCAGGTTCAAGTCCTAGCACCCACATGGTGGTTCACAACCATTAACTCATAGCTCCAGTTCCAAGCCTGCATATAGTACGTACATACATACATGCATACATACATACGTACATACATACATACATACATACATACATACATACATACATACATACAGGCAAAACATTCACACACATAAAACGAAATAATCAGAAAGAATTGCTTTCTACAGAAACACACAGCGCCCCCTCGTGGCAGTAACAGATGTTATGCATAAGGCATCAGGAAAGATGAGTCAGCAAAAAATAAAGGAGGCCGATCCTGACTAGCTAGCTAGCAAGTCCTGGGACAGGAAGCAAGAATATGAACCTGTCAGTCTCACTCTCGGTACCCATGCTCACGGAAGGTGAGGTAGACTGAGGACTCCAGCTCTCTTTGCTATTACACTTCGGCTTCGCCCTGATTCCCAGTAGCATTTCAACTCCTCTTCAGTGTTTCACTTCTCTTCCTTCCCTGAACCCCTTCCTCTTTTCCCCGTTGCCTTCTAGTTCCTCCCACTCAACTGCCCAGACAGCCTCCACCTACCCACGTGAGTAAGTGACAACTGTTGTGTCCTATAGCCCTTCTGGGTTGAGGTACAGTGGGGTGGTTAGAGCTTCGGACTTTACTGTGTCAATCCACACATGTTCTCATTCAGTTTGCAAACAACTGGGCCAGCCATGTGTCTCCTGGGGGAGGAGGAGGCCTGGACATGGGAGGAAGGAGTCAGCAGCCCAGTGAATCTGACTTTCAGTGGAAGTGCCCAAGCTTCAGCAATAAACAGGGGCCCTGTGTTAATCTACGGAAGGACTGCATGGTCCCTTAAGGTCAATGGAGGCTGCTGGAGGCAACAAGTAACCAAAAGATGACTTCCTTGGTATCTCTTACACCAGATATCAGGAACATGCAGGTTTTCTCATAGAAATAGTTGCGATTCTTAACCCTAAAACACTCTTTAAACTTTAAAAAGCCTTGAGTGGTCCAAGAACTCTCTTCTCTCCCTTCACACCAGCTACCTAGCCTCATTTCCTTGCTTCTAATGGTGGGAGAGGAGGCCAATTGCTGTTATCCTCTCCACATAGAACTTGCTGGGATTTTAAAAGTTATCTCCAAATCTAAGATTTAATTTTTTTTTCAATGAGGCCTTTCTTTTTTGTGTATGTGCTCCAACCTTAAATCGATTTCAGAATGCCAGTTGCTTATAGCAGACACATTTCAACCATTTTCCTTTAAGAGCCCAGAAGACGACGGATGAAATTAGCCAATTTCTTCTGGTCATTCTCATTGTACTAATGGGGTTTTTCTTCCCAATTATTGCTTAGTCTTTCAATGCAATTCTTTAGACCCTGGCCAAGTAAAATGTAATTTTTAAATGATATAAGGAAATATGAAGAAAATAACTGTCCAAGAGATTGAGGCAAAATGAAATGAAATATAATACTTAAAATGATTTGAGAGGGAGAATAGCACAAAATTCTCATGTCTGTCTCTGGGGTAATAATTTGAAATAATGTCTTATATCCCTAAAAGAGAATAAGGATAAAAAATGAAATCAACTCTTAATATGCCGTCTCACTTCAGGAAAGTGTGACAAACATGTGTTAGTGGCCTTGAGATGACTTAGAAACCACGTTTTAAAAAAGTATTTGAAACCTCCTTTTTTAAGTCTTGGCATGGAAAAGGAAAGAAACACGTGAGTGAAGAGTATGCAGTGGAAACTCCTTGGCAAAGAGGGTAGATTCCCACCCCCAGCCTCCCAGGCCTGCAGATTCTTAACTCATCAGCCAAAAAGACAGGAGTGGGGTATGGTGGGAGCTCTAGTTCAAAATCTATTGAATTAGAATTAATTCTACATTGATTATAAGCTATCAACATTATCCCACTAATCTTAGTTAAGTTTCAGGAGAGTGGGCACAGAGGGAGAGCAGTCAAGAGTGAAGGCTGCCTACCCAAAGCCATCCAAACTTGCTGGACCAAGCATCCAGAGCCCTTCTCTGGCTCAGGTCTGGTCGCTCCCAGGGCTGGGGTTCTGTGCTTCTGACTTCCAGGATCAGAATTTTGGAGTATCTCTTTAAAACGAAATCTCCAAGGCCTGTTTCATGATGGCATTAGCTATGATTTAGCACTCATGACCGACACTTCTAAAACAACAAACCACTTAAAAAATCAGACGATTGGATGAAGCTCAGGTCCCGGTCCAGTTCCCTGTGACCCTGCTCTTTCTCTGATCCTTGCCACCTTCTTCTCCTGTTTAATGGAGGGGGCTCCAGGCCAGGAAAACTGGAGCAGGCCAGAGCATGAAAGGGCATGTGCTAGAGACAGCTGTGAGCAAGGGCGTAAATCCTATCACTTCTGAGCCAAAGACTCACTTGCAGGCAAAGGGAATTTGAGATGTTCACAAAACCTGATTTGAATGTCATACCAGGTATTTCAGTCTAATAATAACAACAATAATGATGATGGTGATGGTGGTAGTGGTGGTGGTGGTGGTGGTGGTGGTGACACATTTTGAGATCTACAAGTCTCTGGGAGTGTGATCTGGCACATTTCCTACCCACTTAATAGTCAGAGGCAGTAATTTGGGAAATGGTTATTATTGAAAAGCCCAAACTTGTCATACTGATAAAAAGATAATGTATTGTCCTTCTTCTTCAAACACCATTTCAAAGACTCTTTGGGTCCCTTCTTTCCAGTTGCCTTCCCAGTTTAGAAGGGAAAGAGCTTGGGGATTTTTTTTTAAGGATCAAGAGCAGAAAACAACAGCCACATGGCATCTTTCCTAACATTCCTAGCAACACAGATCGCTGTCTAATGTGACAGAAAGGAAATAAAACATTGAGTGTAGTAATGGGAAATTTAGTTTATTGGTGTTTAACTCTGAGAGGAGGATGTCCTTTGGGTTGAGAAAAAGAATTTTTTTGGTCAGGCAGGTGCTGTGTGTATCAGCTCGTCGGGTGTCCACTTGGTGACCTTTATCAGATGGGCTGCAGCACCAAGAGTTTGGCAGGTCATTCCATCAGCAATAAATCTGTACTGAGAAGTTTCTCTCCCAAATGCAAACCTGTCCTTTTGTGTTATCAGAGGCTTCATCCTTATCAGAACTGGTATAATTTTAATAGTTGTGTCTCCTTAGTCATTTTTCTATAAGCTACTGGGGATGTTATTAGAGATAATAATTTAGAAACTATGTCAGCATCATAGCTACTTAAAGTCTATAATTTAAGTTACTTCAAAATGTGGTGTGTTTGGGGAAGGCTGCTTGGTTTTGGTTTTGTTTGTTCTTGTTGCTATGTAAAAAAAAAATAATAATAATAACTGGCCAATGTAACTCAAGGGAGGAAAGCTTGGTTTGGCTCACACTTTGAAGGAACACAGTGTGTTAGTGAGGAAGGCATGGGAGCAGGCAGCTTGGTGCCACTGTGGCAGTGTGTTCTGGTACTTCACTACCCTCCTTATCAGGGAAACAGGAAATGGAGTTCAGGCAGGAAGTGGAACCATCCTATAAAACCTTCAGGCCCGCCTCCAGTGACCTACTTCCTTCAAACATATGAGCCAATGGAGAACATCTCACATCCAAAACATGACATGGTGATGCCTTGCTTGTTAGCTCTTACAGCAGGTCCACTTCCTCCTGTGTTCACTTCTAGCTCATGGAAATGTGAATTTTCAGCATGCACCACAACCCAAATAAGGTGTTCTCCATAGGATCTATACTTCCTGACTTCTACATCACTCTATCTTGTGCTGCCATTGTTTATTGGTTGTTTTGCTTCCAATCTTGCTAACTTGGCTCACTCAGCAAGCATGTGATGCAACCAATACAACAATAAAGGGTAATTTGAGGGTTGGGGGAACAGCTGCTGAAGCATATCTAATAACCCTCATGGAATAGAATCCTTTAAAAATAGGGTCCCAGGCAAAAGGACACAAAAGCACCCACCACAAAAAGGAGTCTATATCAAATAGAGCTTAAATAAAAATTAGGTAATGATAGTTTCCTTTCAAATTCACACCATTTGTTGTCTGTCACCCATAGTCCTGTTTCTGAGCTGTCTGTGACAAAGGATGTTTGTTCTAAGCTCAGCCTTAAGCACTGCAATAAGAATTTGAATTTTGTGTTGGTTCCTGATTGGTCTATGTGTAAATAAGGCTTTTTGTTTCTCCAGTAACACTGCCATCTCTCTAGATGTGAAGTCGTGCTCCTGTGGCCACAACTAGCCTAGCACAGTTTCAGGAATGCAGCAAGAACTCCAGCAGAATATGAACAGAACAGAGCGAGAGGACAGACGTCATCCCCATGTCAAAGGCTGCTTAATGATCCAAAGAAACTACACAGATGCTTCAGCTATTACGGCAGTGAATGTCAAAAGGAATGGGTGTTCCCTATTTGTTGGCATGAGTAACTGTGCCACCCTGGACCTCGGCCAAGCAGAAGGCCATCACCCAGTGTAGTCAGAACCATAGACAAAAATAATCCTTCATAACATTTTGAAAAGTTGAAACCCCATGCAGACACACACACACACACACACACACACACACACACACACACACACACGGTAGATAGATAGGCAGATAGACAGATACATCAGAATGTTGAAAGAAAAGGTGCCAAATCTTCTAGGAAAATGGAATTTGATCAATACTAGTTGAGTTCTTACTCAACTAGTATTCAATACATTAGAAAATGCTGGTGTCTGCAGAGGGGTTTTGGAATAAATATAAAGAGTAGGTAAATACACTTGGGTTGTTTTGTTGTTGGGTTTTTTTTTATGTTCAGCCTACACTGAGATGCACAGGTCATTAATCATTAATTTCTAAGCCACCTCCTTGCAACACAGCCCCAGACACTGCACATACCAGGCATTGGATAAAATCCTCTACTTTTGTTACCACAGGGACCTAATAATAATAATAATAATAATAATAATAATAACTGATAATAATCACCAGAAGGGAAGCCGGGGCTCTCCCAGTTGAGAAATGCTGAAGAGAACTTGTACTGAGGGATGGACCAGACCAAGCTCCTTGGTTAACAGGTCAGAATTCTGAGCCCCCTGTGGCTACAGAGACTCCATCCCCTGTTGTTACCCTGAACCACTGGCCTTGCCATTTCACCAAGTGAGGCTCTTGAGTCACAGGCCAGGCATGCATTCCACTACATAGAATAAATAATGACTTAATTTATTAGCCACACAAAAATTTAATAGGAGCTTTTTAGAGAAGCTTGGGAACTATTCACATTTTTTTTCTAATAACAAAATTCCTCATTTTCTAAATGCATGCTTTAAAATTGCCCTCTGAAACTTGTTCTGGACAGAACCTGTGAAGCACCTTGCATGTGTTTGTCTCCATCTGTGGTGCCCGGGGCTCACTGTCCATCCCTTCTTAGAAAGGGGTTCAGCATCTCCAGATCTTCAGTGGACTCTCTCCCCCACGGCTACCATGCTTCTCTGCCTGTGCTCTTCTCTTATTCTCACCTCAGGCATACAGATTTGAAAGAAAGGGCTGAGGGATGAGGAGGTAGGGAACTTGACAGCTGAAGTTCTGGCAAAAGAATACAGAGTTCAAGCCAGGCTTGGGACCCAGGCAAAACTGCAATTGGAGGCTTATTCTTCTACTTCCTAGCTAGTCTCTGCACACAAGACTCTTAATCTCTGCTCCCCTACCCTTCAAATGTTGTGGCTCTAAATGTTGGTATGAAGATGAAATGAAATAATCCACTCTTAATAACCACTGTCGTGATTATTTCCCTAAACTGAAGGTAAAAGTGTTGTCAATTTGACAAGATGTTGAATCATTCAGGGGTCAAACTTCTCCAAAGAGACTAACGTTTCTAGAAATGTTTAACTGAATACCGGCAGTGCCATCCCATGGGCTGATGTCCCAGGCTGAATAAAAAGAAGAAAGCCAGCTGAACAGTATGTATCACAGTCAACTCTGTTTCCTTGTCAGGGGTCTCTGCCCATCCCACAGCCTCCCTCAAACCCGGAGACTTTCAGGCGCAACAGGGAGCCAAGTTGAGCAAGATCTCATTTATTGCTTAACAGTGAGCCTTTTTAAAGTAAAAAACCAATGGGAGGCAGGGAATATTAACCAATAATTTTAAAGGTATTTCTGTGATGTATCTAATGTCCTATCCCCTCTCAGCAAGGTCTTCAAGTGTGATGACCTCATCCTGTGTGAGTCTGGGCCGCCAGTTGTTTCTTAGTAAACACTTGAAGCCTTGCCTCCATAGCTTCCTCTGAGCACCATCATGTCATGGTGCTGGTCAGTCATCAGCTTGGGCCACTCCCTATCCTGCCAGTACAGGATGATCTGTACTCCTCCACATTTCTTGACATCGCATGTGACATGAACAAACCCTGCCACCATGCCTTTCCTGCTGTGAGGGACTGTACCCTTGAACCATAAACCAAAACAAATCCTTTTTTTATTGTGTTGCTTTGGTTAGGTTCTTTGTCATAGCAATGAGATCATAACTAACACACTTACCCAAGAAATGTGTGGTGATAGGAAAGGAGGAGGTGAGAGAAAGGCTGAGACTGACTGTCCTGACATGGTGAGGTAACCCCCAACTGGGAGCAGAGGAGCCATGACCTTCAGTCACCCTAGCTACTTTGGCCCCTCCCATCTCATTCCATCCAACAATGAAGAATCAGATCCCGGAAAGACAGCAAGTAGATGGTGGGGAAGACACCTACTCCTCCTTCAGAGCACCTAGCCGGCTTTGTTCATCAGCTGGCACTCATACCTGCCCATGGCATTACAAACAGCTGCTTATGTTTGAAAACATATGTTTTGTGGCATTCTGTAACCTTAGGGACTAAAATAAGAGCTATATCCATGGGACACAGCTATTCACCTAGGGAACTTTGATGGTAATTAAGAAAAAAATACTCTTCTCACTGAAAAATGACCTTCGCCAAGATACCCCCTTGAAAAACAAAATGCAGGATGGATTTTCCTCTCCAGTTACCTCACATCTGTACATTGTGTTGCAAAGTTTCCCACATTCCACATGTACTTACTCACCCACAGCCCAAAAAAGGGCTACAAGGAGATGGCCAACAGAAAACAAACTCAACAGCATCTTTGCAGGTTCCTTGTCTCAATGTCATGTTGGAGCTTTGTGTTTTTGTTTTTGTTTTTGTTGTTTTTGTTGTTGTTGTTGTTTTGCAAGACAGGGTTTCTCTGTGTAGCTTTGGAGCCTATCCTGACACTCGCTCTGGAGACCAGGCTGGCCTCGAACTCACAGAGATCTGCCTGCCTCTGCCTCCCTAGTGCTGGGATTAAAGGCGTGCACCACCAACGCCTGAGCAATGTTGGGGCTTTTTTAATGCTGTATTTTTTATATATTTTTACTTAATTTTTTATTTCTTCTCTTTTTTTTACCCTACAGATCCTTTGCTTCCAGTTTTGTGTTTTCATGGGATTCCTGAATGTGCAAACAAGTGTGTCACTGTGTCTAAATGCCTCTCTGTCTTCGCTTGTGTTCTTTTCTGTTTGGTTTGTTCCAGTCTGATGTTTGTTTTATCTTATTTCATTGTATCTTGTTTTGTTTTATTATTATCCATAAGAAGCCCGTTTGTTTTCTAATGAGACACAGAAAGGAGTTGGGTCTGGATGGGAGAGGAGGTGGGGAGGGCCTGGGAGGGGTAGAGGGAAAGCATAATCAGGATGTATTTTATATGAGAAAAAATCTAATTTCAAATAGAGAAAAAAATGTAAAAGAAATTTGAGGGGGAAGGGTGAGGGCTGCAAATTCCAACGGTGCTCAACTGAAAATCCCAGTAAGGAAGTTCACAAGACTTCTTGTTGAGGTCTATATACACTCTTGGAAATATTGTCCTAGTTCCCTTTCTGTTGCTGTAATAAAACACTCTTACCAAAGCAGCTTCAGGAAGGAAAGGCATTCATTTCATCCTACACTTCCAGGTCACAGTCAGCGAGAAGTCATGGAAGAAACTCAAGCAGGAAGCTGCTTGCTTGCTCACTCACAGACTATGCTTAGCTAGTGTTCCTATGTAGCAAAGGACCACCTATCTAGGGAATGGTGCTACCCACAGTGGGCTCAGCATTCCTGCACCAGGTTGGCTCTCCCTATTCAAAATATCTGATTAAGACAAGTCTTCACAATGGTAGTGGTGGTGCATGCCTTTAATCCCAGCACTCAGGGGCAGAGGCAGGCAGATCTTTGAGCTCAAGACCAGTACACTGGTGAGTTCCAGGACAATGAGGGCTACCCAGAGAAACCCTGTCTCTGGAAGGAAAAAAATCAATTCTTCACAGGAGTGCTCAGCACCTTGGGTTTTAATTAATTCCAGATGTTGTCAAGTTGACAATCAAGATTGGCCATCACATAGTTAATAATACCTGTCTCATAAGATGACTGTAAAAATTGAATGTTATACCTAGCACTAACACTCTAGTACATTATAAAGACAATAATAAATGGTGGTATTATTTCAAATGAATTTTTTAAATCTTTGCAAGAGGTAAGCAAATATACAGGCTTGTTCTTCTGGTCATAATTGTGCCAGTTATTAAAATACTGGCTTTTGTCTTTCAATACCCATTTCTAGATTTGACTTGAAAACATAGGCTGGCTGAACCTTGACCACAGATGTTTTCACATTGTTCCCTTGGAGAAGTTGTGATATAGGCAGGAAAGATATGTGCCCTGTTAATTGCCCATCAAGAGCAAGATCCCAGTTGTCACCTCACCTGGGAACAGAGCTTACATTCAGGGCCATGCTCAAAGAGTTTTAGAGATAAGCATGAATGACAATGCATTCGTGAACCAGGAGAAACTCAATAGGGAAAGTGCTGGACCCTTGAAACAGTGGACAACCCAGTGGGAAGTCACTTTCGTAGAAAAACTTAACAAGAGGGACTTAAGACCCAGAAAGGGACTCTGCATTGCTAATAGGTTCTCAGGAGGAAAGTCCCAACACTGGATTAGTCACACACACACACACACACACACACACACACACACACACACACACACACCAATGCTCCCTTCCCATAACTGAGGCCAGATCCCACGTGCTCCTATCTACCATACTCTGAGCTGACCACCTATGAGGAAATCTTTGCTTTCTTTCCCATGTGCACATATGATTTAGCATTTAAAAGGTGAATTTAAGCCAGGTCTCCTGGCATTAGCCTTTAATCCCAGCTACCTGAGAATCTGAGGAAGACCACAAGCCAAAGACTAGCCTAAGATACAGAATGAGTTAGAGTCCAGCCTGGGCAACATAGCAAGAGCCTGCCTCAAAATAAAAGGTTTAGCCCTTTCTGCCGACCGACCCAGGAACCAGGAACGAGGTGAGTGAGCCTCTGCCCTTAACCAACCCCTGCCCAAACCATCACTCACGCCGACCTCCCCGGGCCTGCGCCTGCCTGCTTGGGATACCCACGCACAGACAAGGAGGAGCTCCTTGAATCTGGACACACCCCACTCTTCCATCTCTTTTTGCCAACCGATCCACAATGAGTGAGGAGACTACCAAGAGAGGCAAGACCATCCAGAGT